AAACAGTTCCAGAGAGACAAAGTGACCAATACCCATAACCCAGGATTAAAACATACCTCTGCTAATCATAATCCAGTGTTTTTGCAAAATATTGTTTAATTAAACAGATGATTATAAACCCTCTACCAGTGACTAGCACTGTGTTAGACTCTGAGGACAGGGGTAAGGGGATAAGACAGTAATAATTACCACGTTAAGGACTTTGTCATATGATGTGTTGTTTTACTTACTTTACTTAATCCCTGCAACAACCAGGAGTAGTATTCCTATTTTAATGATGAAGACAGTAAAGCCAGGAGACGTTAACTTGCCCAAGTCCACATGGCTGAGAAGCAACTAAGCCGGGATTTGAACCCAGATCTACTGGCTGGCGGTGAAGAGAGCCAAAGGACAAGGTGAGGGGACGAGCAGATGAGGAGGACCAGAGATCCAAGCAAAGGGTCCCACTCAGTCCACACACACTGAGGACCTCATGGGCAAGCACTGCGCTAGGCCTGGGGTCAGGGACTGGGATAATGCAAACAAAACAAAGGATAGTTTGCAGTCCTTGCCTGTCTGCAGCTTATCGTCTGGGTGGAAAGCAGGATAGGAGGCTGGACGAAGTTAAGACATATGAGATGTCCTGAAACTTGATTAGACAGCCTGGGGTTCAAATCAGCCTTGGGAAAGTCACTCCATCTCTCTCAATCTCAGCTTCCTCAAAATGGAGATTAAAAATAGTTTCTACCTCGTAGGGTTACTGGGAAGATCACACAAGGTACACTGTGTAAAATGCTCACCTGTTTTTTAATAAATAACACCATTAGACCGAGTAACAGTAGAGCCTGGTCACTTGGTCACAACACCTTCACAGCACAAGCCAGTTCCACAGTTGTAAACCTTTGGTGACTCTCCTCTGTCTATGGATTAGGTTTGAATTTTTAGCTCTGCATCCAAGGATCTCAGGAATCTAGATGCTAATGACCTTTACAACTTCACCTCTACCCTCCTCTTTTCCCTTCTCATGTTGGCCACCCCAGCTTGCTCCAAATTAGTCCTGTCTTTGTCCTTACCCTTCTTACATTTATTCTTTCATTTGCTCAACAAATATTGAGTGTCTGTTATGCCCCAGGCACTGTTCCAGGTGCTAGGGGTAGACAAGTAAACAAGACAAACAAAAATCCCTGCCTTCAGCAGCACCTGGCTGGCTCAGTCAGTGGAGCATGGGACTCTTGATCTTGGGGTTGTGAGTTCAAGTCCCACGTTGGATGTAGAGCTTACTTAAAAAATACTAAATAAAATAAAATCCCTATCTCTAGTGATAAGAATATCTTAAAAAAAAAAAAATCCCTGTCTTCGTGGAGGTCACATTCTAGTCAGAGAGAGGCAGACAGTTTTTTTCTGTTTTTTTAAAGTAAAAATGTATAGTACATCAAATGATGGTAAGTGGTGTGGAGAAAAAATTAAGGAGAGAGGAACGGGAATACAGGGATGCAACTTGCAATTTTATTTATTTATTTATTTATTTATTTATTTATTTATTTTTAAGATTTTATTTATTTGCGAGAGAGAGAATGAGAGACAGAGAGCATGAGAGGGAGGAGGGTCAGAGGGAGAAGCAGACTCCCCGCTGAGCAGGGAGCCCGATGTGGGACTCGATCCCAGGACTCCAGGATCATGACCTGAGCTGAAGGCAGTCGCTTAACCGAGCCACCCAGGTGCCCCGCAACTTGCAATTTTAAATAATGTGTTCAGGGGTGCCTGGGTGGCTCAGATGGTTAAGCATCTGCCTTCGGCTCAGGTCATGATCCCAGGGTCCTGGGATCGAGTCCCGCATCGGGCTCCCTGCTCCTTGGGAGCCTGCTTCTCCCTCTGCCTCTCTCTCTCATGAATAAATAAAATATTAAAAAAATAAAAAATAAAAAAATAATGTGTTCAGAGTGGGTAAAATACAATATTCGAGTCGAGATTTGAAGGAGGAAAAGGTTTGAAGCATATTGATATCTGGGGTAAGAGCATTCTAAGCAGAGGGAACAAGTTCAAAGTCCCTGAGTCAGAGGCGAGTGCTGGCAACTTTCAAGGAACATCAAAATGGCCAATACAGCTGGAACAGAGTGACTAAAGGGACTAGTAGTTTGAGGTCAGTCCAACTACATAGAACCTTAAAGGAGATTGTGAGGACTCAGCAGCTTTTCCCTGAGTGAAATAAGTAGACATTGGAGAATTGGGAGTAGAGGAGGATTGTGATCTGATTTATAAAATTTTTAATGTGATAAAATAGAACATGAAACTTACAATTTCACTATTTTCAACTATACAGTTCAATAGCAGTAAGTGCATTCACATTGTTGTATAGCCAAAACCATCAACTATCTCCAGAATTTTTTCATCATGCCAAACTGAAACTCCAAACGCGTTATTAAACAATAATTCCCCATTTCCTCCTCCCTCTAGCCCCTTGTATCCACCACTCTACTTTTTGTCTCTGTGAATTTTGACTACTCCAGGTATGTCATATAAATGGAATCATATAATATTTATCCTTTTGTGACTGGCTTATTTCACTTGACATAATGTCTTCAAGATTCATCCACATCATAGCTTGTGTCAGAATTTCCTTACTTTTTAAGGCTTAAAAATATTCCACTGTATGTATATACCACATTTTGTTTATCCATTCATCCGTCAACGGACACTTGGGTTTCTCAGACCTCTTGGCTATTGAGAAAATGCAGCGATAAACATGGGTGTAGAAATATGTTAGAATTCCTGCTTTCGGGGCACCTGGGTGGCTCAGTTGGTTAAGCATCTGCCTTCAGCTCAGGTCACGATCCCAAGTCCGGGATCGAGCCCCATGTCAGGTTCCCTGCTCAGTGGGGAGTTTGCTTCTGCCCCTTCCCATGCTCCTCTCTCTCTCTCTCTCTCTCACTCATTCTCTCTCTCTCAAATAAATAAATAAAATCTTTTTTAAAAATCCCGCTTTCAATTCTTTTGGGCATATACCAAGGAGTGGAATTGCTGGATCATATGGTAATTCTACATTCAGTTTTTGGAGGAATCACCATATTGTTTTCCACAGCAGCTGCACCATTTTACATGCCCATTCTCTTATGTTTTTCAAGATATTACTTTCAGGATGAATTAAGACTATACTATAGGAAGGCAAGAGTGGGACAGAGATACCAGTTAAAAGGTCCTCGAGTTTATCTAAGTGAGAAACATAGTGGCTGGGATTTACATAGTAGCAGGGGAGATAGTAAGAAGTGACCAGATTCTGGTTTTGTTTTAAAGGTATAGCCAACACAGTCAGTTAAGGGTCAACTCTTGATTTTTGGCTCAGGTCATGATCTCACAGTTGTGAGATCGATCCCTGTGTCGGGCTCCAGGCTGGGTGTGGAGCCTGCTTAAGATTCTCTCTCTCCCTTTCCCTCTGCTCCTCCCTGCCCTTTCCCTCTAAATAAATAAATAAATAAATAAATAAATAAATAAATAAATAAATAAATAAATAAATGGTAGAACCAATAGATTTGCCGAGGAATTAGCTTTGGAGTAAGAAAGAAGGATAGAGATAAAAAATGTGTGTCCCCCCCCCCATTTTTGGCTTGAGGAAGTGGAGGAATGAGGTTGCCATTTACAGCTTTGGGGAAGTTTGCAGGAAGTTGAGGTTGATACATCAGGAGTTGGGGGACATGTTAAGTTTAATATGCCTATTATACAACCAAATAGAGATAATGATCCTGGTATTCAAAGATGTGTGGGTTAAAGAGAAAATTTGAGAGAAGCCAGTGTATAGAAGGCATTTAAAATCATAAGACTGGATGAGATCATCTGGTGAATGATTACAGGCACAAAAAGGGAGAGAGCTGAGCCTTGGACATTCCAGCAACAAGAGGTCAATGAAAAAACAGTAGAGAACAGTGAGAAGGCGATGCCAGTGAGGTAGGAGGAGAGTCAGAAGGGCACTGGTGTCCTGGAAGCCAAGTGAAGAAAGTGTTTTTTTAAAAGGAGGAAAGTGATCAACTGTGTCAAGTAAGATGCTGATGGTCCAAATAAAGATTGAAAATTGGTCATTGCTCTTAGCATCCCAATAAAAGTTATTTCAACGGATTGTGGGGAGGCAAAAACCTGACTGAAGTGAATTCAATAAAGAACGGGAAGAGATGGGAGTTGGAGACAGTGAGTATAGCCAAGTCTTACAGAAGTTTTGCTGTAAAGGAGATTAGGGAAAGGGTGTCGGGTCAGGAGAGGGTTTCCATGCTTTTAAGATGGGAAAAACAGCGGGTATGACAGGAACAAACTAAAGCTCTGCCACTAAACAGACAAGAGGCGATGGAATTTGATGGGTAGCAGATCCAGAAAGTCTCTGTCTCCCTTTCACAAGTCAATCCATGTCCAGCTCCAGCTCACGAAATTCTGGTTTGGGCTGCCAAGAGTTGAGGCAGTTGAATGTGTGTCTGTCTCCACAATATCCTCAGAGCCCTTCCAGAGGCTGCATCGAAGTCAACTTCGATGAAGAATTCTTCTCCATACACCTGCAGACCCTGACCCAGGACCCCGCTCTGCACTTGTTGAATTAGCCCGAAGAGGCCCCAAGCAGCGGCTACGCGGCTTGTTTCATAAAGGGGGGTGGTCCTAGCCCTGCGCTCTAGGATCCAGACTTTCGAGCTCCAGGCCGGCTCCCTTCCTTCCTCCCCCCTGCTCCCACACCTCCGCGGACCAGGCCCGCGAACGTGGCCCCCGGCACCCACCGTAACCGAAGTCCGTAGATTAAAAAGTAGTTGTTGGTGGGGGTAGGGCTAACGCTTGGGGGTGGACCCGAGAACCGAATTGAGTGAGGATTGGGCCGAGAGTTCAGGGGCGGAGTTTAAGAGCGAACTCTGGACAGAGAGTGGACCGAGCGCGAGGAGGCGGGGCCTGGTGACGGACCGGGGCGGAGATTGGGCTGAGGGCGGTGTCAGCGCGAGGATTGGGCCGAGCGCTCTGGGGCGGTGCTTGGGGGGGCGGTGCCGTGTCGGAAGTCAGAGGTCAGTAAATAGTGGTGATGTCATGCAGGCAAGATGGCGGAAGGGTGAGCCCGTCATCCAGCTCTCGGGCGTTGGGGCCTGAATTCTCCCAGGGTCGGGGTGCTGGGCCAGGGTCCTCGTGGGGAACAGGAGGCCAGCCCGGGAGTGGACGGAGCTGAAAGGGCGGGGTGGAGTCTCAGTGTGAGGGGGTGGGGAAGCGGTCTGCCAAGTCTCAGCCCGCCGACCACATCTCAGGGAGAAACTGAGACCCGATCATGCGCGGGCAAGAGTCGCACCGCAGGGCCGCCAGATATGTCTGTCTTCACAGGGAGGACGTGGGCTGGTGGCGGAGCTGGCTGCAGCAGAGCTACCAGGCAGTCAAGGAGAAGGTAAGTCGGGCCGGCGCCCTTCCTCCGCCAGGGCCTCGCGCCGCCTCATGCAAGCAGGTCCGAGCGGCCCCGCCCGACCAGTGTGGGCGCTGGGCCTCAGAGATGAGGCCCACCCGGGCCCTGCGGTTATCCCCTGTTGGTCCCAGGGAGGGCTGACCCCCGACTCAGACCAGTGTGACCCTAGCCACGGTGAAATACAGATTGTTTTAAAGGCCGGAGCGGCCCTTTTGTAGGAATCCATAGGAAGAGCAGTTTATTCCAGCGCAGGAAATTCACAGCTTCGTAGAAGAGAGAACCTTCGATCTAGGCCTTGAAGAAGAGTTCTGCAATAGAAACTTATTACTATAGTCATTCAAATACTAGAATGCCACAGCTAGCACTCTCTGACAGGTCCTGAGGGTACAGGTGCTATCCTGGGCCTCACAAAGCTCATAGTCTAGTGGGGAGGCAGCAGTTCCTGTGGGGTGAGTGAGCCTTGGCTCTGCCAATGGACAAGGCTGTTGTGTGTTTCTGTTCCACTCCATGCTAGTTTGTCAAAACCAGCCCAAGTGAATTGTGGAGAAAAAGTTAATTACTGTTTACTTCAAGAAATTGGGGCGAGTCCTGCTTCAGGGCAGACTCCAGGAGGCTTCTGATGTCGGTTAAATCAGTCCTCTCTTCTGGGAGCATTTTAATACCTCCTTTAGCCTGCATGCTCCTGTTCAGCCCTCTCAGCTACAGCCTAGCAAATCTGAGAATATGCCCTGAGTTGTTTATGTTGTTATGAGGACTAAGAGAATTTCCCACTGAAGTTTAATTGAAAAGACTTCAAAAGACTTCAGCTGTTGAGCGATCTCCTGGAAGGAGAGTCTGACATGCATTCAGCAAGTATTGGGCGAGGACCTCCTGTGTCCATCTTCGTTCTTGGGGAGCTCCCTGTTTGAAGCAAGGTTGTGGGTGTTGTTTCTGCCTTTGACAGTTCCCCATTCAGAAAGAGGGGAATTTCCCACTGAAGTTTAATTGAAAAGACTTCAAAAGACCTCAGCTGTTGAGCGATCTCCTGGAAGGAGAGTCTGACATGCATTCAGCAAATATTGGGCGAGGACCTCCTGTGTCCATCTTCGTTCTTGGGGAGCTCCCTGTTTGAAGCAAGGTTGTGGGTGTTGTTTCTGCCTTTGACAGTTCCCCATTCAGAAAGAGGGGACTTAAATTTCCCTCTCAGCTAGTTACCGTTATATGAACTTGGACAAGTTATTTAACCTCTCTAGGCCTCAGTTCCTCATCTGCAAGATGCGAGTACTAATAACACCTACCTGATAGTACTGTTGTGAGGATTAAATAATAATGTGTGTAAAGCACCAGGGACAATACTTAGCACACCGTAAGTAGCATATAAGCATCAGTTATTTTTATTAAGTGCTGAGGAGTGTGCTGAGGAAACCTCTTAAACACCACCAGTTCATTTTTACTTCCATTTTCCCCTTGGTCTTTCAGTGCTTTCCTGGCCTTGCCCTTGCCCCCTTGCCTTCCCATCCCAGCTCCATCTAGACTACTCAGTTCCCAGGACCCTCAGTTCCCTTGCACCCCTTAGCATACATTGCCCTAGAGACTACAGTTCTGAGATGGTGCTGTAATCTCTCTTCCTCTGCTCCTTACCTCCTCCTATAGTGTATATGCGTGTTTGCATTTACCCACAGACACTGATAAAGAAAGTCATTGCTCCTTGGTCCAACCACAGATTCCCCACGTTTATATAGGCCTGAACACTCCCCCTCCCCCCAGCAAGCTTTTTCAGTCTCTGATTTGCTTTTCTTCCCCTTATCTTCTGAAACTTTCCCCAAACCTAACTCTTCCCTCAAGTGCTCTGTTCAGCTACTTCCTCTTTTACCTCTAAGAGACACCCTCGCCTCCTACTTTTATTTGAGGTCAACAACATGATCTCTCGTAACTCCCTCCCCATCCCTGCAACTCCCTCCCCATCCCTGCAGCCTTCACGTGTAAGCTTATCTGTAAACACACTCAGCTTCACCTACCACTTGCCAGATCCATCAGGTGGTTTTCAGCTCTTATCTTCCTGGTCCTTTCGGCTGCATTTGATACTAGTGATCACTCCCTCTTTCTTGCAACTCTACTCCTTTGGCTTTGTGGCATGCGCTCTCAATTCTCCACATCTCCAGGCTTTTCTTTCCTGTTTCATGACTTTCCCTTCCTGCCCCTTAAAGGTGTGGTGTTTGAGGGGTCTTGTCTTCAGTGCACTGCTCTGTTGTCTCTACAAACTCTTCCTGGGTGACCTCCTCCATTTTCATAATAGTGTGATTTCTAGTCCTTTTCTCTGAGCTTTAGTGTTTGAGAATCGCTCCTGCTGGACAACTGTCCCAGATAGCCCGCTGTCATCACACACGCTACATGACCAGAATCACTGTCATCATCTTCTTTCTAAGCCTGCTCCCCCTTCACATTTTCTCTCTGAGCTGGCAGCGCTGCATCTACCCCGTCACCTAGGTTAGCAGCCAGTGGCTCTTCCTTGACTCTCTCTTGCCCTCGCTCAACACATCTATTTAATCCCTAAATCTACCCTTGTCTACCTAATATTTCTTGAATCAGTCCCATCCTTTCATCCTGCCCAGCACTTACCCTTATTCATATTCTTTTATTTTCTTTCCTGAACTATTACAGCAGCCTCCTGTGGTGTCTGTCTTCTCCTCTGTCTTCTAATCTTGTCACTTTTGGACCGATCCATGGCACTCCAGGCCAGTCCCTGGAGTGACTTATGAAAAATGCAGATGTCATCGTGTCCCACCTCCTTCAAACTCTTGGTGGCTCCCCATCACCCACAGGGCTGACCAGCCCACCATAGTTGCCCTTGGCAGCCTCTCCAGCTTTCTTCCCAACTACTTCTGCTTTACCTTGAATGTTCATTAGGACTGAAATGCTCAGAGGCCTCAGTAAACCCCGTGCCCTGCAGTGCCCCGGCTTCCTTTACTGACTCCTGCTCATTCTTTTAGGTGCTCAGTCCAGGCTTCCCTTCACCAAGGCTTTCCAACTTCCTGATAAAACACTGGTTGCCATTCTGCTCTTGTACACTGACACTGTTACGTGAGCATTTTGCCCGGCAGACGATGACCTTCTTTTTTTTTTTTTCAAAGATTTTATTTATTTGACAGAGAGAGCACAAGCAGAGGGAGAAGCAGGCTCCCTGCTGAGCAAGGAGCCCGATGTGGGCCTCGATCTCAGGACCCTGGGATCATGACCTGGGCCGAAGGCAGCCGCTTAACCGACTGAGCCACCCAGGCGTCCCTAGACGATGACCTTCTTGAGGGCAGGCACCATGTCGGTTCATTCTGGTCCCCTCAGAGCTCACAGTCTAGTGAGGCAGACAGCCATTCATCACATCACCATGGCAGTGGTTATATAATTAAAATTTGCCCTGGTACATGTAAATTTAACAAGCAAACTTTCTTTGGCACCTACTCTATGCCAGGTTCTATGTCCCATACTGGGAATACATCAGTGAGCAAAAAACATGGGCTCTATGTTCACAGAACTCCGTTTATCCAGGAAGCTAGATAGTGAACAGGCAATCATAAGTCTACAGCATGACAAATGTTCATGCAGGTGCCCTGGGAAGCAGGGAACCAAGCTAATCTTAGGTGGCATCAGGGAAGCTTCTCTAGGGAAGTGACATTTAAGCGTAGATCTGAAGGAAGAACCAGAGTTAACTAGGTGAGGGGGTTCATTCATTGTGTTTGTTCACTTATGTGTTTCAAAGAGTTAGAATCGTTTGTTCAGACACCCTAAAGGTAGGGAGGATGCTAGAGCATTTGAGAAACTTACGGAAAGCCAGCTAGAGCTCAGTGAGGGACACAGTGGTAGGGGCTAAGAGTCTGCCAGAGGTGAGATGAGATGGGCTTTGGAAGTGAAGGTCAAGATTTTATCCTTGCTCATAGGATACTGTGTAAGCACTGAAGAATGTAAAGCGGGGGCAACCTGGTCTGCTCTGACCGCTCTGACTTCCGAAACTCCCAGCGGTGGCACAGGGACAGTGTAGTAGAGGTCTCTGAGGCACCCTCTAAGGAGTGCATTTGAAAGAGCAGGTTGGCCTAGACCAAGGCAATGGCAGAGTGGACAGAGAGAGCGCGTTAATAAATGACCCCTCCACCCCAATTAAGGAGCCCCGGGTCTGAAATGGAGACATGATTCCCACTCCCCAGAAGCTTCTGGCCGATAGACAACACTGCCCCATTCAGAGACGTCCCAGGCTGATGAAAACTAGGCAGGCAGGCCCTTCCCCACAGAAGAACCCTCAAAAATGCTAACACACACACACACACACACACAATGCAGCTGATTATCCATGTGTAAAATGAGAAGGCTTGCCAGGGCGAACACAGAGGTAGTCTGGGAAGGTACAGTGGGTAAGGGTGAAACAAAGCAGGGCAAGACTTGGACCAGAGCTGAGGGCCTGCTGTCTCGTGCCGTCTGAGCGGCCGGAAGAAAGCAAATATCCGAAGCAAATATCCATTCTGCTCTACAGATGAACAGAATCCTGGAGTGATAGAACCAAGAACCCCTCAGAGATAATCCAGTCCAGTATTTCTCTCAATATCCCCTTTGTTGAATGTAAAAATCACACACCTTTTTACTGGTATTAAATGTCAAGAATCACTCATAAATGCTTTCTAAACTAATGCGACATGTTCATTTAACTTTTCAGACAAATAATTTCACATACTGCCTCCTATTTCAACTGAATCTCCCTGTAACAAAAAAAAAAAAAACCTAAAAGTAGAAACACTTCCCTTTGGTAAAAAAAATCACACACCTTTTCTTCATGTTATTTGAAATTTGAAACAAACGTCATGACTTAAAGCAACGCATCAGACTCTGTTTTGTTCCCGGACGACAAGCGCCCCCTTCCCCAGCCTGCTCTTGAACCACTGACCTGGGCTGCCTCCCTCATTTTTTTTTTTTTAAGATTTTATTTATTTGAGAGAGAGAATGAGATAGAGAGAGAGAGAGCATGAGAGGGGGGAGGGTCAGAGGGAGAAGCAGACTCCCCGCCGAGCAGGGAGCCCGATGCGGGACTCGATCCTGGGACTCCAGGATCATGACCTGAGCTGAAGGCAGTCGCTTAACCAACTGAGCCACCCAGGCGCCCTGCCTCCCTCATTTTACAGAAAACCGAGCCTAGGTGAGAGTTACTTGTGGCCACAGAGCCTCTCAGCGCCAGGGCTAAGAGTCGTCCCCATTCTCAGAACGGCAGGAAGTCCTTCTGTACGCTGCTATTTGGTAATCCCAGGTCAGGGACCCGGGACAAGCAAGCATGGTTTCTGTGCCTAGACGTCGCGCGTCACCTCAGTTTTCCGTGTGTCTGTCTGGGACGGAAGAAGTCCAGGGAACAGGAACAAAGGGTAGTGGAGCCAGCTGGCTCTGTCATCCCTCTCTTGTCTTCCCGTAGTCCTCCGAAGCCTTGGAGTTCATGAAGCGAGACCTGACGGAGTTCACCCAGGTGGTGCAGCATGACGCGGCCTGCACCATTGTGGCCACGGCCAGCGTAGTCAAGGAGAAGCTAGCCGTGAGTACTGCCTCTCCCCTCTGAGGGCCTGGCCCTCACAGCCGGACCTGCCCTGGGCCCCTGGTGGGGACGCCCCAGCCTTTCCACTGCTAAGTGATTGTCTCTCCCCAGAGGCTCCCACTTTGAAAGAATTGTGTCTGTCGGGCAAACAAGCTACATAGAATAAGTATTAATAGGCTTTCCCATTTCTGTATTGTTTTAGCAAATGCTTTCCTGTTAGCAAAGTCATTCATTATAGACAATTTAGAAAATACATGTAAGTAAAAGAAAAAGAAAGACCTAGAGACACCCATAATTCCATCTCCCGGAGAGAATGACTGTTAATATTTGGGCGTATGTTTCTTATGTCCACTTTCTTTTTCAAAACTGGAATCAGTGAATATCATGTTTTGTAACCTACTTTCTGACTTAATCATTGCAAACCTCACTCTCCAGCATCATAAATGGCCTGTTGTTTTGTTCTGTAGGTTCAACCAGTTCCTAGTTTCCTATTGCATTTTTTTTCTGGTACTATAAACAGACCCACAGTGAACATTCTGATCGCTATATCTTTGCCCTTCATATTTTCTTTATAATAAAACACTGGAAAGGATCATAGGGTGAGTACATTTTTAGGCCTTTTAATATTTATTGCAAAACTACCCTCCAGAAAGGTTGTGCCAACTTATATTCTTACTGTCCCTGTTTTTATTAATCAAAGATGTATAGCCAAATCTTCTTGTGAGATAGGAGTTAGATTCTAAAGTTAGTGTGAAAAGTGAAAGTTGTGTATGGTTGGCTGTCCCTGCAAATCTCAAGCTTCTGATGAAGTATAACATACAGGTTTTGTATGAACAGTTTCTCCTTTAGTATTGGGACAGTTGCACTTTCTTCATTCGAGCACCAGCTGAACCAGTTGCCTTGTGACTAGAGGCCATGTTATGAGAAACATGTTTTGGAGTTCTTTCAGCCAACCTTATTTGGTTGACTCTTCCTGTAAAATACTGTCTGCCTGCCAGTCACAGCTGCTGATGAGCATGGATGACAAGGAGTAACCCTGTTGATCTGCTAGAGTCCAGCCAGTAGCACACGTGCCACTCGTTTCTTCCATTCACTCATTCCTTTTCTTCATTCATTGATTGTATATCTGTGCTAGCATGTGCCAGCACTCTGTAAAATGCCTGGATAGCTTCATCAGGAGTAAATATTATGGTTTCCATGAGGTTTAGAGCCTGGCCCTATCAGCATCCCATCTCTGCTTTGCTTCGAGGCCATTCTGACCAGTGTGGCTCAAGCTCGGTGTCCCACTTGCCCCTTCTAGATGATCCATACATTGGCCCTCAGCTGGTCCCAGGTTTGCCTCTAGGCAGGGATAGCTGTTCTCATCCTGCCCATATTTCCCCAACCTTTCATACAAAATGTTCTACTTCCTGAATGATGGTGATGAAATTGTAATATTACAATACTGCTGTTAGGTAAAAGTTTGTTGTATCCCAGGCATTGTACATGCCTTATCTTTTATTTGTCACAGCAGCCCTCTGAAGGAAGTCTGTTTACCCACATTTTACAGATCATGAAACTGACTCAGAGAGGTTTAGGTCTCCAAAACTAGTACCTTTCCCACCACTCTACCTGTGGGTCCTCTTCCCACTGAGTGTATGACATGCATCCTCTCCTACCAATTTTTTTTTTTTAAGATTTTATTTATTTATTTGACAGAGATAGAGAGAGAGCACAAGTAGGCAGAGTGGCAAGCAGAGGGAGAGGGAGAAGCAGGCTCTCCGCTGAGCCGGGAGCCAGATGTGGGGCTCGATCACAGGACCCCAGGACCTGAGCCGAAGGCAGCCGCTTAACCAACTGAGCCACCCAGGCGCCCCCTCTCCTGCCAGTTTTTGATCAGCCTGACTGGTCTTGAAATTTTTATGAAATAGCCAGTCAGAGAGTTCTGCTCTGACTTATCCAGGCCTACGGGAGCCCTGTTCCACACCCCCATCTGGTGTTCGGGGGAACCCTGGCTACCTCTGTCCTTCTCCAACCCCAGAGATAGGGTGAGAGGCCGTGAGCACTTCCCTGGTCCCCACACATAGAGCACACTTTTGCCCCTGATGCTTCACCCCTCAGTGCCCCATCCCCTAGATTGCAGCCTGCTCCTGGGCCACCTGTTTCCTCTGCCCGCTTCTCTCTGCAGACTGAAGGCTCCTCGGGGGCAACAGAGAAAATGAAGAAGGGGTTGTCTGACTTCCTAGGAGTGATCTCCGACACCTTTGCTCCCTCACCGGACAAAACCATAGACTGCGATGTCATCACCCTGATGGGCACACCCTCTGGCACAGCTGAGCCCTATGATGGCACCAAGGTATTCATTAGCAGCCCCCCCTGCAGGTGCCTAACAGTGCTGGGTTCTAGCTTCCTGTGTGCACTCACAAAAGCAATACGTGTTCAGGCCAGAAAATAAATACATGTATGTAACTAAATTGGAAAATACTAGTAAGCAAGAAGGTGATGATTCTTAAATCCATAATCCCATCCCTCAGAGAGAATCACTGATTTCTCGTTGGCGTCTAACCTGTCATTTCTTTTTGTTTACTAGCATTGGTAAAGATAGTTTGGATTTTTTCTTTTTAACCAGAAAGGCACTTAATACCTGCAATTTTGTAACCTGCTGAAAAAAATGTATAAAAAATATTAGCACCTTTCTTAATCATCATCATTTTAATGTCTTTAAATTCTTGCAAGTGAAGGTAGCGTCATTATTCAGTCATTTCCCTAGTGTTGCACATTTGGATTCCCTTCAGCTTTCAGCCATAATAAGGAATCCTGTATGGGCATGATACTCTCAGCATTGGGGTGAAGGTTGATTTCTAGCGGGAATAAATGCATGGTGGGGGAGGATGTCTTCAAAGCACCTAGATCAACAACAGTGGCAGGATATTTCTTACACATTTTATCTCCTCAGCGTTACTTCTTATGGTTCATGGGGTATTTTCTCCTAAATTCACAGTGTGATGTCACAGCAGTCTGGCCTTCGCAGCATTTTACCACATTGAGTTTCCATTCCAAACATAATGATTTTTTCAAGCATTATCTTTCAGCACTAGTATTAATACCACCACTTAGTGACCATTTGAGTGGAAGTGTGAAATTTCTTAAATTGTAGGATTTTAAATTATAACAGCAGTGCATCACAAAGCCCCTTGCTGAAGTTCTGATTTAGACAGCCAGCCCTTGCTTCACGTGATACTGAGGAAGGAAGGTGAGGTTTTCTGTTTGTCACTCCTGTGGCCGTAACAGGAACACAGCAGATAATTCATTTGGCAGACTGGCTGTGAAATTAAGAAATTCTTGGGGCACTTGAGTAGCTCAGTCAGTTAAGCATCTACCTTTGGCTGAGATCGAACCCTGCGTCGGGCTCCCTGCTCGGTCGGGAGTCTGCTTCCCCCTCTGCCTCTGCCCCTCCCCCTGCTTGTGCTGTCTCCCTCTCAAATAAATAAATAAACAAAATCTTTTTTTTTCTTAAAGATTTTGTTTATTTATTTGACAGAGACACAGTGAGAGAAGGAACACAAGCAGGGGGAGTGGGAGAGGGAGAAGCAGGCCTCCCGCGGAGCAGGGAGCCCGATGTGGGACTTGATCCCAGGACCCTGGGATCACAACCCGAGCCGAAGGCAGACGCTTAACTGACTGAGCCACCCAGGCGCCCCTAAATAAAAGCTTTTAAAAAAAGAAAAAAAAATTAAGAAATTCTTGATGAATGGTTTTAATTTGGGGGAGCTACTTCAAAATTTGCCCATAAATTTGGACTTTAATAATATATTTGAACTAACATTTTTCAAGTTTCACATAATTCAAAAGCCTTTTATACATACAATTTTGTAGTCTGCTTACACTGTATTTTCTTAGTTCCCAAGGTAGAATACTAAGGGAAAGACCATTTTTCTGGAAGCCCCGGTTTTGCACTCCTAGCCCAGTGCTCCACTCTCTAGCCATAGGGTGACCTGACAAGTGCCCCTTGGGTCTGGCAGCCAGCAGGGGAGAAGCTGGGTTGAGGTTGACTTCCTATGGGACTAAATGTATAGGGGAGGGACATCTTCAAAGCACCTAAATTAACAACAATGGTAGGGTATGCTGTCAGAGAGGAGATGTTTTCTGCACCTAGCACTCCAAAATTTCCGTTCTTTGTTTCTTACAGGCCCGCCTCTACAGTCTGCAGTCAGAGCCGGCAACCTACTGCAATGAACCAGATGGTGAGGGGGTAGCTGTGAGGGGGCAGGCTTTAGGGGCTCTGGGATGAGCACCCTCTTTGTCTCTGATAGCATTGGCCTGGCACCCTCTGTGTGGCGGGACCAGAGTGGGGCTAGAGTGCACCTTACGTGTGGTAGGATGGGTTGTCAGTCCCTTTTCCTCCCTGAGCCTGGACTGTGTTCATCCCGGTCTGCAGAGACTTCGCTCCACTCCCTCAGCCTCCACTCAGGCCGCATCCCAACCCTGCTGCCCTGCCTGCCTTCTCTTGGGTGTTTGTTTGCCAAGCCCCTGCCATGCAGCAGGCCCCAGGCTGGGAACTGGAGCTCAGAAATGAGTCAAACCCTCACCCCAGTCCAGACCTCCGGGAATGTGCTGTTAGGAAAGAGAAACGGGAAACTGTGGATAAAGCAACGATAGTAGGGATAGAGTGCTGCTTCCCCAGATGGGAACCCAGAGAGGAAGCACGCAGCCCAACCTGGGGAACCTAGGAGGTGACACTCAGATTGAGGTTTTAAGGATGAATTAGAAGTAAACTAATTTTGGGGCACCTGGCTGACTCAGTCAGTGGAGCATGCGACTCTTGATCTCAGGGTGCTGAGTTCAAGGCCCACATTGGGCATGGAGCCTACTTAAAAAAGAAAAAAGAAGTAAACTAATTTTACTTTTAGCAGTGGGGGAAGGGCGTTCAAGCGTGGCAACAGGACATTTGAAGCTTCTGCACTGGGGAAGGCTGAAGAGGGGCATGTGAGGGAAGGAGGCAGTGAGAGTTGCCGGTGGGGGCCTGGTGGGGGCCAATTCGGAAGGGCTTTGGGTGCCAGACTAAGCAGTTTGAATTTTGTTCTAAATGCCTCAAGTAGTTCTTAACCTTGTTTTAGTCACAAAGGTCTTTAAAAATCTGTTGATAGTGACAAACCCTCTCTCCACAAAATTTTATAATGCAATAGGGGAATTCTTTGACCCTCTGAAGCCCATCCTTGGATCCTAGCTTAAAAAGCCCTCCCTAGGGGTACCTGGGTGGCTCAGTCGGTTGAGCCCCCTACACTTGGTTTTGGCTCAGGGTTGTGAGATCACGGTCCTGAGATCAAAGACTCAAAGAGGAGTCTGCTTATCCCTCTCCCTCCCTGTAGTCCCTCCCCCGCCTCACTCACTTGCTCACGCTGTCTTTCTCTATAAAATAAATAAATCTTTTTTTTTTTAAAGATTTTATTTATTTATTTGATAGAGAGAGACACAGCGAGAGAGGGAACACAAGCAGGGGGAGTGGGAGAGGGATAAGCAGGCTCCCCGCAGAGCAGGGAGCCCGATGCGGGACTCGATCCCAGGACCCTGGGATCATGACCTGAGCTGAAGGCAGTCGCTTAACCAACTGAGCCACCCAGGCACCCTAAAATAAATAAATCTTAAAAAAAAAAGAAAAAGCCCTCCCTAGAGGGGTACCTGCCTGACTCGGTCAGTGGAGCATGCAATTCTTGTTCTCAGGGTCATGAGTTTCAGCCCCATGTTGGGCATAAGAGTTTACTTAATAAAAAAGTAATAATAATAATAATAAAATAAAAATAAATTAAAAACCCTCCCTAGAAAACTCCTAAAGGGTTTTGAGGCCTGGGTGAGTAGATTTTGCATTTTATAGAAGAGTCATCAAGCATGGTTGTAAAGGATAAAATAGAGAAAGATAGAAGATGGGCAGACTGGGTAGGAGGCTTGGTAGGAATCCCCACATCAGAGGTAAGGCCAGAACCTAGGGAGTGGCAGGTGGAATGAAGAGGACAGTGTGCATACAGAAGACACTGAGGAAGTGGAATCCAGAGTGATCGATAAAGGAGGAGTCCAGGAGGGCACCCAGGGCTCTGGTGGACAACTAGGTGGGACAGCTTGGGAGGGAAGAAAATGAGCACACATGGGGTTTGCTGCACTTGAGCAGGCAGAAGTGTCCAGGGGACACCTGGACCCCTAGATCTGGAGCCCAGAAGGGTAGGTGGGGCTGCAAAGAGCGACTGAAGAGTTGTCAGGGGAGGGAGAGGTGGAAACTTGTGGTTTAGTGGAGCTTATCTTAGGAGATAAAAGAGAATGAGAAGAGATAAGGAAAGGAAAAGAGAAGGCCACTGAAGACTCAGAAGGAACAACTGGAAAGGTGGGAGGAAAATCACAAAAGCCCAAGAAGCCAGGAGAGAAGAGGGCATTCACAAGGACAAGTGGCTCCCAGGATCAGAAGATGGATTGGTCACATGAGGGAGGGCAGAGAAGTAGCCTTTAGACTGCAAACATGGGGCCCCCTGGGGACCTGAGAATAGCGGTTTCAGAGAGGAGGGGGTTCAGTAGCCAAGTGTAGTGGGCTAAAAAGCGAGCAGGTGTGTGAGAACATGCAGACTGCAGCCCATTCTAGAGATCACTTTTCAGTGCCTTGCCATGATACCAGTGAGGCCTACCTACCCCATCACCCTTCCTGACCCCCCACCTTTGCCCAAATGGCTTTGAAAAAAACCTTGAGCTTTCCTCACTGTCCTTGTCCACACTTAGATGTATTTTCTGTAGACCCAATGTTCTCTCTCCAGACCTAGGAAACTGACCATCAGTGTCTGTCCCTCTGCAGGGCCCCCGGAATTGTTTGATGCCTGGCTTTCCCAGTTCTGCCTAGAAGAGAAGAAGGGGGAGATCTCAGAGCTCCTTGCAGGCAGCCCCTCCATCCGGGCCCTCTACACCAAGATGGTGAGGGCCCAGAGGGCAGGACCTTACCCAGCTTCGGTTTCAGGTGTCGGGAGGTGGGAGGGACATACCTAGAGTCCTTGCAGAGTCACCTTGCCTTAGGAGATAAAGGAGAATGAGAAGAGATAAGGAAAGGAAAAGAGGAGCCCACTGAAGACTCAGAAGGAACAACTGGAAAGGTGGGAGGAAAATCACAAAAGCCCGAGAGAGCAGTTGGAGCCACTTGGTTTCTGGCAGTCATGTGAGAAATGGAAGGGCCAGCAAGGCCTGATGGGAATTCTGTTCTCCCTCCTTGGCTAAGTTGGGCCAGGAACATGGGTCTGGGGGTGGAGGGTGTAAGTGCTCTAAGAAAAACTGCTCAGCCACTTAACCACATCTGAAATCCAGGGCAGCTGGGGGCAGGCTGATAAGGCTGGGGACACAGACCCTACACAACCACTCCCAAAGTCTCATCTCCACTGTCCCCTCCCTCCAGGTCCCAGCAGCTGTTTCCCATTCAGAATTCTGGCATCGGTATTTCTATAAAGTCCATCAACTAGAGCAGGTATGCTGGCCTGGCCTGGGGAGGTCCTCCACGCAGCCCTTGGGGAAGTAGGCTGGATTCTGTTGAGGGAAGAAGGGGCACAGGGTACCAAGAGCTCTGGGATCAGGGCCAGGGTCTGAGAAGAGCTTGCCCTGACTGCTGCTGGCCATCTTTTTCCCCCACACTCAGGAGCAGGCCCGGAGGGATGCCCTGAAGCAACGGGCAGAACAGAGCATCTCTGAAGAGCCTGGCTGGGAGGAGGAAGAAGGTAAGAGATAGTAATAGGTCCTGTCGTGCCTCTGGGGACCGTCTGGCCATTCTGTGAGCACTGGAGAGACCTGGCAGCCAGGGAAGTACAGGGCATGTATACTACGTCTGTACATGCTGAGGATAGGCTGAACTAACAAGGAAATGTTTGCCTGGGCTGGTGGAATTCCTGGTTTAGGTACAGAAATCATGTGTGTCAGGAGCAGCAGATTCCCCGGCCAGCCCACGGACCAGCCCCATCAGAGTCACCTGGGATGCTTATTGGAATTCCAGATTGCCTTCCCCCCATTCTAAATGAGACTCTGTGGGGATGTGGCCGAGCCTGTTTTTTGCTTCACGCCCAGCATGGGAGCTCAACGCGGGGCTTGAACTCGTGACCCTGAGATCAAGACCTGAGCTGAGATCGAGAGTCAGATGCTTAACCAGCTGAGCCACCCAGGCACCCCCAAACTTGTATTTTTAACAAGCTCCCCTGGTAAAGTTCATGGCTTAGCCAGGTTTGGGAACTGTTGGCTTAAGGTGGTAGCTGAGCATCCTCTGTCTGGTAGCTCAGCTTAGGATAGTATGTTAGAGCCACCTGCATGCCATTAACACATTTATTGTTTTCTTTATTATTTTCTTTATTAAGGAAAGTTAAGTGTCTTATCCAAGATCATACACTGCGAATATAGCAGAGCCTGTCCTAAACCCAGAACTGATTCACTGTCAAATCTTAACTTTCTAACCTATAATACCATCTTGGGCTGTGTTGCCAGAAGCTGAGTGTCCGCCAGACATATGCTAGGCCTTGTGGGTAGGAGAGACTTTGACCGACAGGGGGTATCTGCGGATGAACCATGTTGGGGAGAGGGTGAGGACACTGGCACCCTTCAGTCTTGATCAGAGTAAGCTTTGGCAGGAACCTGAGGTCTGTCTTCAGAGAGCTCCAAGGTTGTCTTGGGGCTGACCAGGGCACATAGCCCTCTTTTCTTTTCTCTCTCGACAGAGGAACTTGTGAGCATTTCACCCACATCTCCAAAAGAGGCAAACGTTCCTGTGGCCCAAACTTCCCCATCCCCTGAAGGAGGACCTGGCCCCCTGAGCCCCTGTGAAGAGAATCCGGTGGCTCCCGCTGAGCCTCCTACAGAGGTGACTCCGTCAGAGAGCAGCGAGAGCGTTTCCGTCGTAACGCAGATGGCTAAGGCTGCCGCTGCCGCTGAGGCACCGCTGCCGCCCAAGGACCTGTCCCAGAAGCTTCTCGAGGCATCTTTGGAGGAACAGGGCCTGACTGTAGATGTGGGTGAGACTGGACCCCCGCCCCCGGCTCCGTTCAAGCCCCAGCCCCCTGCTGGCCGCCCTAGCGGCCCCGAGCCCAGGCCTCCTGCCAGAGTAGAGACTCTGAGGGAGGAGGTACTCACAGACTTACGGGTGTTTGAGCTGAACTCGGACAGTGGGAAGTCTACACCCTCTAACAATGGAAAGAAAGGTAAGTCAAGGCCAAAGCCCAGTGGGGGGGGGGGCAGGCAAGCGTTGCTACCCCATAAGGCAGACTTGTGTCCTCATCCCTTGGGAGGGTCCCAGCAGCAGTTGTCCTTCATTTGTGATACTGATGGTGATGACAGCTGCTATCTATTAAGTAGTTGTTACCGTATTTCATCCATTTAAAATGTACCTGTTTTCTTTTTTTTTTTTAAGATTTTATTAATTCGAGAGAGAGACAGAGCACAAGCAGGGGGAGAGGCAGAGGGAGAGGGAGACGCAGAATCCCCACTGAGCAGGGAGCCCCACGTGGGGCTCGATCCCAGGACCCTGGGATCATGACCTGAGCTGAAGGCAGATGCTTAATGACTGAGCCACCCAGGCACCTCAAAATGTACCTGTTTTCTGAAATAAGGGTGCATCTTAACAATCGTTGGGGTCTTAGGTTCAACGAAGTAAGGTTTGTGCGAGGTTAGTGTGTTATATTGCACTTAGTTTCTCATTACATCTCACAGCCCAGTGAGGTCAGTATTATTGTCCGCTTTTATAGATGAAGAAAGTGAAGCTCAGAAATGTTAAGTAACTTGCTCAGATTCACATGACCAGGAAGTAGCAGGCCCAGATTCAGACCCAGGTCTCTCAGACTCGGAGCCCATGCCCTTAGCTACCACACTGTGCCAGTTTCCATGCATTTGGACGATGCAGCCTTATGCTGGGTTGGAAATCCCTGTGGCATTGATTGATGACAGAGGTCTTCTCCCCTGCGTGACCTCAGAAAAGTCATTTAGCTTCCCTAAGCTTCCTGCATTATTATGAGTATGAAACATATAAACAACACTTCCGTACAGTTGAAAAAAGAATAAAATGAATACTCATGAACTTGTTGTGACCCAGCTTAAATAATAAAGCTTAGTTTCTTATCTGTATAATGGAATTTTAGACTGGAGACTGACTTCTTGTCAAAGGGGAACTTCTCTAATTCCTGGAATTAAAGGACAGTGATAGCTCTGGTGTTGACTTTTTTTTGCCACATCCAGAATACCTCTTCAGAGATAGCCGATTGTCAGCAAGGCCTCTCTACACACACACACACACACACACACACACACACACACACACGCACACACACACGCAATCTCTGCTGACACACGGTACCAGTCGGCCACAAAACTTGCCCAGCAGGTGAGCCCACGCCTACTGGTGCAGTGAGAGACTGGTTTGCTGCAGTGGAAGGGAAACTGGCCGCACCCCACCCCTACCCTGCTCCCTGATGGAAACGGTAGGGTTTCCAGTTTCCAACACAATGCTTCCCTTCTGGCTCTGATTCAGTGAGGTCATCCATTGAGCTCCTACCCGCTCTTTATGAGACACTGAGGAGGGAGGGGCAAAAGCAGCAGGCTTTATGATGAAGCGGGAAGCAGTATGGGACAGGCATGGTGCCGGAGAAGTTCAGAGAAAGAAGGAACCTTCGGGGCACCGGCGGTTGTTTGACCCGAGGAGACAGGTGTTGTAGAGGAGAGGTGGAGAGTTTGGGCGGGTGCGGGGGACTGGTAGTCCGGCTGAGGGGCCCACCAAGTCCCGATAGCAGAGGCCACGGGGCACCCAGGGGGCGGGGGCGAAAGCCCACTTTGTTGTATTATCTCCCAGGAGAGGGAGGAACAAGAAGGGTGGATGGGTTAGCTCAGAAGTAGAACTTAAGGACACCTGGGTGGCTCAGATGGTTAAGCGTCTGCCTTCGGCTCAGGTCATGATCCCAGGGTCCTGGGATCGAGTCCTGCATCGGGCTCTCTGCTCCTTGGGAGCCTGCTTCTCCCTCTGCCTCTCTCTCTCTCTCTCTCTGTCTCTCATGAATAAATAAATAAAATCTTTAAAAAAAAAAAAAAAAAGAAGTAGAACTTAAGAGCTTAGCCTTAAGCCGAACTGGGAAGGTTGGACTTGGTGCCATAAAGCAGCAGGGCACGCTGCTCACATTATATGCCTGACTGGTCCGGAGAGCTCTACGTGTAGAGGATGAGGGCTCAGGCTCTGGGGTTCAGACAGTTCTGGGTTCAAATCCCAACCTTGCTCCTAAGCCATGTGACTTCAGAAAAGTTACTGATCTTCTCTAAGCCCCATTTATTCCTCTATAAATTGGGAATAACTTTCATGATAGGTCCTCAGGGAAGAAATCTGAGTAGAGCCCTGCTTTGGGGAAATGATAATAAGAAACCATCTCTGAGCACTTTCTGTATGTCTGTATAGCTCTGTGCTAAGCACTGGAGATGCGTATCATTCAGTCTTCACAGAAGCCCAAGAGATCTGGGTAATTTTCCCCATTTTTTTACTTACTAGAAGGAAACGGAGATCAATCACCCACCCACTAAGTATTTAGAAAAGTGTAAAATAGTACTTTAGGAAGGTGAAGAGTAGGTGATGGACCCAAAAGGTGGTGGGGGGTTGCTGGCCGGGTGGTACGAAGAGCCGTTTGAGGTAGCGGTTGTGGGGAATTGGGCCATGGGAGAGCGGGGTCAGAAAAATGAGTGGTGGGTTGAAATGGGACGAAATGAGATTAGGGGAAGCTGCAGCACGAGCTCTTCATCGCTCTGCTGTCCTGCCTCTGACACACTCGGGGGGGATGCAAGAGGCCTGGGGAGTCGCTGCAGAAGACCCACCAGAAGCAGTTGTCACTTAGGGGAAGCTGGGGTCTTGGACTAGGGGGGCATAGTGGGAACAGAGTAGAGAGAGTGAATCTTAAAAGAATGAAGGCTTGGAGACCGTGACTCCTTTTCCCTCTTACGTCCATATCCTTAGATGACATAGAAGAGCTTGGTCCCTGCATGCAGCAGTTTCCTGGGGTGGCCTCAGCAAGGTCCCGGGGCAGTTACTGTCGTTGCAGAGCTGCTTCCCACCTGCACTTTGTCCCAAGATCCATTTAATCTAAGAGACTGGACTTACCCTGCTCAGGTTCCCTCAGCAGGAAGGGGGAGGAGAGACAGGGACAGGCCTGTGGCCTGCGGAACTAGAAGAAGCCCTTGGGCTCAAGGCCCTCCTTCCCCAATGACTGACCTAGGAGTGGCTTTTGCCTCCCATTTCTTCTCTGGGGAAATAGAGTTGTAGTTAAACAGAATAAAATGAGCTGAATGACAGCACTGGGAGGTTAGTAGTCACCCGAAAACTCCCCTTTCTTAAAACAACAACGGTAAAACTCTATGAAAGCTTAAAATTGTTTTGGCCTAAATCCGTTCTCTGCCAGGTGCACAGTGTCAGGGAGCTCTTAGTACCCTTGTCGTGTGACAGGACAGGAAGGGGGGAGGAGGCACATGGGAAGGAAAGCCCCGATTCTCATCTCTGCCGCTCGAAGCCTTCATCTCGTCCCCTGTAAATTGGGACTGTTAATACCCGCCTCAGAGGTGAAGTGCCTCAAAACTGTAAGCTGATACTCTGTTTTCCACACCTGGAAGGGCTGCCCTCGAATTTAAAGCCTGAAAAAGAGAGTTTCACATTCCTGAAGGGCAACCTGAGGTCAGGGAAAGCTGCCATGGCCACAGCCCCAGCTCTGAGATGAGGAATAGGCAGGAGTCCGTCCGGCTTCTAACCCCCCAGGAAGCCTGCACTGACAGGTAGCCAGGTGTGTGCCACCAGAGTGTCCCGGAGGCCTAGGGAGACTTGGACGTGGCGTGTGAAGAGCTGGGTCTCGGTCGCCGTTCTGCCCTGGCCAGTCCCGGGGCCACACACGAAATGACCTACCTCGGAGACGGTGCCACTGACAGCCCCGTCTGTTAAATTCCCACTGTGCGTACATGTGACATGCACTTCACATTGACCCCTCTACTCTTAGCACTGATGTATCTCAGAACTGCAGGCCCAGGCCTACAAGGAATCACCCGGGGTACCTATTTATAATGCAGAATTCTGGGTCACTACCTGGACCTGCGGGAGCTGAAGGAGGGGGGTGGGGAGACAGGCATCTGCATTATCATCTGTGCGGTTCTCTACAGAGGGTGGTTTTATCCTTATTTCATAAATAGACTGAAGCCCAAAATAACTTACCCAAGACTACACAATAGATAAAAAAGTAGGGATTCCTCCCAGGTCTGCTTGGCTCCAGAGACCGTGCATGATCCTTTTTTTTTTTTTTTAAAGATTTTATTTATTTATTTGACAGAGAGAGACACAGCGAGAGAGGGAACACAAGCAGGGGGAGTGGGTGAGGGAGAAGCAGTCTCCCCACAGAGCAGGGAGCCCGACGCGGGGTTCAGTCCCAGGACCCTGGGCTCATGACCTGAGCCGAAGGCAGATAACGACTGGGCCACCCAGGCGCCCCTGACCATGAATGATCTTACAAGGATGCTGGTGGCTAGCCAGGTGGCTAGGAAGGAGCACAGTGCAAGACCCCTTATAAGGAATGTAGGGGCGCTTGGTGGGGGGGTTGGTGTCAGAGCCTGGGTGCCTGGTGAGGAGCAAGCTGAGCAAGCAAAAGCAAGGACATGTTTATAGGTCATGCCACTGAGAGATCAGGGACCTGCTCTCTTTGAAGGTGCTTTTAATAGACAGGAAAAAAATACAAAGTAGTATGTGTTCATTTTGGGGGGGGGGAGGAAGAATGGGAAAATTACCCCCTGACCTCATCACCTAAAGGTAACTATTGTTAGTATTTTTATGGGAATGTTATGCATCTTTTCTCTATGTGTACAAGCATCTTAGCATATTTTTTAAATAGAATCACACTGCATATACTTTTTTCCGCATATACTTTTTTTAAACTATTTTTGTCGTTTTCTTATAATAACTTTCATGTGTACATTTTTTTTACATTGCCTATAAGAAGTCATGCCCAAATGTGAATATTTAGAGCAGTGATTGCCAAACTTAGCAGGCCCCAGAATCACCGAGAGCGGGGATCAGTAGGCTTTTTCTCTCTAGGGCCAGATCACAAATATTTCGGGCTGACGGGACGCCTTGGCCCTGCTGTCATTGCAGGAAAGCCGCCACCATGGGCAGTATGGAAACAAATGGCAATGGCTGTGCTCCAGAATTTCACTTCCCAAAGCAAGCAGTAAGCTGGATTTGGCCCCCGCGCTGTAGTCCACCGACCCTGCTTTAGAAAAGGGTCCCACGTATATTCACTGAGCACAAACTCTGTATTCAAGGCACTTGGCGAAAACAAAGATCCCTGCCCTCAGGGAGCGCACATTCCAGTACCTCTGTTAGAAATAAGCAAACTAAGTCTCGTGATGTGATGAATTCGGGAGTTGATAAATACAGTGGACACACAGATCAAGTAGAGCAGAGTGAGGGGAGTGGGCGGGTTTCAAGTATAAGGTAGGATGGTTTGGGGGGGCGCCTGGGTGGCTGGTTGGTTAAGCGGTTAAGCATCTGCCTTAGGCTCAGGTCATGGTCCTGGGGGTCCTGGGATCAAGCCCCTTATTGGGCTCCCTGCTCGGCGGGGAGCCTGCCTCTCCCTCTGCCCGCCCTGCTCACGCTCTCTCACTCACTCACTCTCTCTATCTCAAATAAATAAAATCTTTTAAAAATAAATAAAGTAGGATAGTCGGGGTAGGCCGCATTTAGGTGGGATGGTTTGTACAAGGGTGTGAAGGAGGCAAGGAAGTTGGCCTGTGGATGTCTGAGGAGAGAGAGTTCTAGGTATAAGGAACAGCCCATGCAAAGGCCCTAAGGCAGGAATGTGTCTGGTGTGTTTCAGGACTAGCAAGGTCAGTGAAGGTAGAGTGGAGTAGGTGAAGAGGAAGAGGTTCGTTGTTTATGTCTTCTGGAAGATGTCTGTGGCTTTGGGGAGCCTCTGGTCCAGAGTGCTTTCTCCACTACAGTAACTTTCTTTTTCTCACTTAATAGTTGTAGACTATGTTGCCATGTGTAGAAGTGTTCTGCAGCCTAACATTTAAAAGTCACATAATGGGGCGCCTGGGTGGCTCAGTTGGTTGGGCGACTGCCTTCCGCTCAGGTCATGATCCTGGAGTCCCGGGATCGAGTCCCGCATCGGGCTCCCTGCTCATCGAGGAGCCTGCTTCTCCCTCTGACCCTCCCCCACTCATGTACTCTCTCTCTCTCTCTCTCTCTCATTCTCGCTCTCTCAAATAAATAAATAAATCTTAAAAAAAAAAGTCACATAATGTTTCATCATGTGACTACACCATTTATTTATGTTTTTAATTCCCTATCAGTGAACTCTCAAGTGTTTTTTTTTAAATTTTCATCACTATAAACAGCACTGCAGTGAACATCCTTTTGGCTAAATCTTTGAGTGAATCCAGCGTTTTTCCTTAGAATAGATTCCTAAAAGTACAATCACTGAGTCAGAGTGACAACAGAATGTTAAGACCTTTGTTGTATATTTGCCAAGCCCTTTTATTTATTTATTTTTAAGATTTTATTCATTTGTCAGAGACAGAGAACACACGCAGAGGAAGCGGCAGGCAGAGAGAGAAGCAGGCTCCCCGCTGAGCAAGGAGCCCGACGCAGGACTCAATCCCAGGCTGCTGGGATCATGACCTGAGCCAAAGGCAGATGCTTAACGACTAAGCCATGCAGGCGTCCCTGCCAGGCCCTTTTAAAGAGCACCATTACCCCCAGCTACAGACTGTTCAGACATACCCCTTCCCGCCTTTAACACTGTGGATCTTGGTTCCAGGCTCAAGCACAGACATCAGCGAGGACTGGGAAAAGGACTTCGACTTGGACATGACCGAAGAGGAAGTGCAGATGGCACTCTCCAAAGTGGATGCTTCTGGGGAGGTGAGTGGACCTGGTTGGCCTCAGGGAAGCAAGCTCAATGCTCCCAGTGTGTGAGGACTCTCCCCATCAGGCCAACCGTCCCCTAAGGGTGGATCCCTGCTCCTCTCTGAGATGGCAGCTTCCAGAAGGGTGCTGGAGCCTCCCACTCAGGCCCTGAACACTTCCCATCAGCAGGCTCTGCTTCCCCTCAGTTCCAGGGTGGATGGTGGGAGAGTTCCTGACATTAGCTCTGCATGAAAGTCACCTGAGGAACTACTAAAAAAAAATGTACTCCAAACCCTGCCCCACATCATGGTCCGCAGGGATGGTCCCGAACAGATTTCCTGGCCTTGGGGCAAAAGACAGTGTGATCTAGGGCAAGTCACTTAACCTGAGCTTCTGTTTCACAATCGAAAACCTAGAACTGGCCCTAGAAGCTTGTAAGCTGTGATAGACAATGCACGTAGACGTGTTAGGCGTCGTGCCGAGGACACGGGAGCAGGTGGTGAACATTACTGAAGCTGCCACAAAACCCGTCGGCTAGAAAGCTCAGAGGCCTTCCTACTCTTATGCTTCGTTACCTGCCACAGTCAAGAATGGGTCATTTTGAATGGAAGGCAGGGGGAAAAGCTCTCACAACTACTAAGTGACAGGACTGAGGCTCCAGGCCAGACGTCTGATTCAAGTCCATGCTATTTCCACAGTCACACAAGAACCACATGATTCCTTCCATCATGTAGCTCATGAACCGGCTATAAAGGGGTGAACAGATGAGAGAGACAGGCAGGGCCTTGGTTTTCATATTGGAAAACTGAAGCCTGGGGAGAGGTAGAGACCTACCCAAGAGTCTTTGGCTCCTGTGACCTCACTATGCCCAGGGCGGAGAAGGCCCCTGATCCCCTCTCATGTCCCAGGGGCTCAATGCCCTCTGTGTTTCTGCGGCCCTCAGTAAAACCTGACAGCCGTATACCTAAGCAGCGTCATTCTACCACCTCCTACCACCTCTCATACCCGGGATCAGTTGACAGCAGGCCAATAGAAAGTTCCCTGGGGAGACTTCAGCTGGGGGAGTAGGGTGCTGGAGCCCCTGAGGAAGAGCCTGTGAGCACCCTCATGGCAGTGCCCCTCTCCAGTTCTCCTTCAGGGACTGACCGACATAGTTCCTAGGGGCATCCAGTGTTGGCTGGTGGAAGCATTTCCTTTGGGTCCGGAATGATCAGAGTAGCAGACCCACCCCTTAGGCAGAGGATAGCTCTGCTCCCCAGACACATTCCTTAAGACAGTGGTTTACTCTCACAGAGGGCAGGAGGGTATGGCCCAAGGCAGGACTGGGCAGGGTAGGGGAGGCTATCCGTAAATGGAGGCAGCAAGGGGAGGTTGGGTCTGGGCTTGACTGAGAGGAGTAAATATGTGTTTGTGCTCTCCATTATCCCCTCCTGTCTGCAGCTGGAAGATGTAGAGTGGGAGGACTGGGAATGAGGGGAGCCAGAGCGTGCAGCTCCCCCTGCCCACAGAACCTCCCACCCCCTCGCTCGTCTCAGCCCAGCCCTGGAAGACACTGACTGAGAATGTCCCCCCAATGGCCTCTGTCAACCAGAGCTCGGGTACAGATTCTGGGTGGCTCTTTGCTGGTCCTTTGGGCCTCTGCTCACATCTGGGAAGGGGCTCACTAAATCCAAACCAGGAACTCTGACTTGTGCCAACCATAGGATGACTCAAGGGGGAGGAGACCTACCCCTCCTCACCAGAAGAGCCTACATTTCTCTGCTGAACACCCACTGTTCTTAGGGACTCTTGCTGGGAAGTCCCAAGGGATAATTCTAGCCCTTCTACCTGTGTAGACAGAAACTAAGCACCAGTCTCTTGGAGGAAGCTGAGACAACACTCTGTCCACCCATAAGCAGGCAAGGAAGGCCATCCCACCTGTCCTTGGCTAGACAGGATGGCAAGCACATCCTGGTTTCTAGCCTAGTGAGTAAGAGGCATTCGTCTCTGGGAAACTTGCCTCTCTTGGGGATCTTCCCCTCCCAGGCATTTTCCATTCCCAGAAAGGTTCCTTGTGGTTCCGAATCTAGAGACCAAACCCTGAGTTCCCACCTCCTTCCTTCTGTCCAGCCCAGGCTGGTATGTCCCCAACACCTCTCCCAGGGCTTCTTCATGTCAGATGCACCCAAGTCCTTAGCCCAGCCGTGCCACCTGCAAGAGTCTGCTCTTGCATTTCTTCCCCTCCTCAAGAAGGGAGGGGGTCACTTCAGGCCCTTCTGTGCATTGCCTGGCGGGATACCTTGTCCAACCAGCTACCCACCTCGACCCCCCTGTAGCTTAGGACACAAGCCAGCTACCAGCGGTACGGAGCAGCGATCAAAGCCGAGTACTTACAACTCCAGTAAGCCCAACTTCTCCACCTCAGCCCTTCTGCTGCTTGAAGGGCTATGCTGGGGGTGAACTTCTTGAGACTCATCAGGCTTCTGCAAAAGCTCTTCTTCCTGAAGACTGACCCAGTCTTTGTGGCTCTCACCCTTCACTCTGGTAAAGCTGTTCCTCTCTTGGGGGAATGAGGGGCTGCAGGAATTCCTGGAGACCCTGGTGCTTCATGATGCTGCTCTGGTGATTCTGGTACATAATCTGGTGTATTCACCAGTGAAGTAAAGGGATTGTGGTCAGGTCTGCCAAGAGAGTGGTGGTCCCTTCCACTTCAAACCTTCATTGGAGGGGGGTGGGATGGAAAGAATGTTGAATCTTTTTTTTTTGATGGGATGGGGTTTTTCTCTTTGTAATTATTTCTTTAGTTTAATTAACCTTTTGGTTGTTTGTGCAATATTATATATTTTAAATTATAATGCATCTCCCCAGAGTATTTTGTAGCCAGGAAAAGAAAAAAGGGAAGAAAAAAAAAAAAAAAAGATTCTAACAGCTGTTAGTTTTGTAATTAAAAAAAAAGAAAAAAGAACTTTGTCCTGAACCTTTTCCAGACTTGCCATTAACAGCATTAAAGAGATTCAACAGAAGCTGGAAGTCTGGGGGTCTGTTCTTGTCCCCAACAGCAGCTGCCCTGGAGGCAAGGCAGGACGGACACAGTGTGCAGGCTGGCTTCCTGCGTGGAGCCTGGGGAAGGGGCGGGGGGGCAGGGAGGGGTGGTCTGGGGCTCAAGGAAGTCCCCTGTCCTCACCTCAGACTCAACTTAGACTCTGGGGTGAGGCAGGGACAGGGCCCCCAGCAGGCCTCTCACCAAGACAAGGAGTCGAGAGGCCGTCTCTGCATTCCCAGCGCTTCTGCTTTTATTTGGAAAGGAAGTTGCAACAGTGGTGGTTCCAGTGGCTCTTGGTCACTTCTCCCCTCTCCTCCCCCAGTGTGTGTATGATTCTGGGGTCTGTTTGGTTTTTTTTGTTTTTTTTTTTCATTAATTTGAGTTGAACACCTGTGTGAAAATCACTTGTTAGCTGTAATAAAAGGGAAGTCTGAATGAGGCCCTCTGGTTGCATGAAGATCTTTAAAGGGAAAGAGAAGTAAGGCTTGGGGAGGGTGTAGGTAAGTTCTAGGATAGAAGTATACTTAAAGTGTAAAACATATATCACCATCTTAGAAGCGGGTTTTAGGGTTTGCTTTCTCCCCCTGCTTTATTGGGGAGGACTTGCCATTGCTTTTATCAAGTGCTTGCTAGCCATGGGTGCCAACTAACTTCTTCGATTGAAGGCCGGAGGATCATATCTGGTTCCAGGAGCCGCTTGAGCAGGTCCTGGCATTCGGCCGAGATGCCCAGGTGAGCGGGGAAGGTCACCCCCTTCTGCTGCTGCCACAGCATCTTGGGGATGTCTGTGTCGTCAAAAGGTAGGCTGGCGCAGAGCATGACGTACAGGACGACGCCCATGCTCCAGACATCCCCCTTCTTGCTATCGTGGGGAACACCCTGCAGCACCTCGGGGGCGGCGTAGGCTGTGCTGCCGCAGAAGGTCTGGCTCAGCTCTCGGCGTGACTTGGGCAACACCTTAGCGAAGCCAAAGTCAGTCAGCTTCAGGTTGAAGCCCTGCAACAAGGCGTTCTCACACTTGAGGTCCCGGTGGGCCACACCACAGCCATGGCAGTAGCGGATGGCCTCGACCATCTGACGGAAGAGGGCCTTGGCCCGGCTCTCGGGCAGCGGCCCCCCATTCAGCACACAGTCAAAGACATCCCCTCCTTCAGCCAGTTCCATCACCAGGTAGATTTTCCCGTCGGCAGACTCCAGCATCTCATACACCCGGATGATATTCTTGTGGTCCAGGGTACGGACAATCTGGAGCTCCCGAGGCAGGAATCTCTGGATAAATTCTGAGGAAACAAGGGGAAAAGACACGTCTGGGTGTCTGCCCACCGTGTCTGGGTCTGGTGCCTTGGTTCCCATTAACAGTCTTAAATGTCTAGCTGCTTGGACATTGCAAAGAATGCCCACTGCTATTATTTTTGTAGTTCATTTATTATTCAAAGGAACAACTCCCTGCCACCCTCGCACTGTTGTGAGCAACCTGTGAGACCATGGATATCCAAGTGCTTTGGGGATTTTTTAGACAAAACCACTGAATCTCGGTTATGAGGCCTGGATTGCCCACAGCGTGGTGAGCAGCTACTCACACCCCTGCCTCCTGACCCCACGGTTCTTCCCTTGAGCCCTGTCTTCCTTGTTCCCACTTCTGCCTGCCTTGGCAGCAGCTCCTACCCTCTGCCAGCCTAGGCCATGGCCTCTCTGCCCATCTCCGTCCCCCTCCTGGAACAAGGAAGGCCCAGCAGGCTGGGGTTGTGCCTCTGAGGCCCTTTACCTCCTGCCACTTTAATCTTGGGTTTTAGAGGTGCGAGGTTCCCCCACCCCCCACCCCCCACGACCTACCCCAGAGCCACAAACTCTCTTGCACTTCCAGACTAAAGGGGAGGAGGGGATGATCCTTCCCACTGGAGGAAGTGCCCACCCACCTCAACCAGCCCTCCCTTCCTCCAAAGGGGCCCCAGCTCACCTTCTGGCCCTCCCATCTTGTCTATAATTTTAATTGCCACTTTTCTTTGGTGTTTTTTGGAAAATGCTTCTTTGACTTTTGAGTAGGTCCCTTCCCCAATGGTCTTGCCCAGCTGGTACCCATTGGAGAGCAGAAAGTCCTCCATGCTGTCTAGCGCCTCCTTCCTCACCCTCTCAGCTCATGCTGCCTCTGTGAGGCAGCTCTACTCCACCATCGCCCTTGGCCTGCTCCTTTTCCCCCCAAGGACTTCATGCGCAGCCGCCCCAGCGCTAGAGCATTCTCCGTCTGGACACAGCAGCCACGGGTGGTGGGGAGGGAGAGGGCCATTTTAAAACTCCGGCCCAATTGTGATGTAAATGCTGTGTGACCCTTGGCCAAAATTGTCAGTGCCCTTACCTGCCCTCACCATCACCACCACCAAACCCAGCACGGGTTAAGTCACCGCCGCGCCCCCGTCCCCCAGCCAGGCAGGGAGTCGCAGCCCGCCCCGGGGCGCTCCGGGGCGTCTGCGCGCCGCCCGGGATGACGGGCTCCTTTTCGTGGACGCCGCCTCCTGCGCCCCCATCGGGCTGCTGGGGGGGCTCTGCCCGGCCCGGTACCGAGGCGCCATGGCCGGAGCCTTCCGGACCCGGCTCGCGGCCGCGCGGTGTGCGGGGCGGCCCGACGCGGCGAGGGGGGAGTTCCCGGCGAGAGGAACGGGCTCTGTGAGGTCAGCGCGCCGCGGCCCGGGTCACAATGCAGCCCGCCCCCTCGACGCCCGGGCCGCGGCGCGCCGCAGACACCTGCCGGGCTCCGCCTGGACCGGAGCGTCGTCCCGCGGCCAGGGGTCCGGCAGCTGCTTCCAGCCTGGGACCGGCCTCGGCCTCCGGCAGGTGAGCAACGACCCAGGGGGCGGGGGCGGGCGCGGGCAGGGGGCGTCCGGCGGCCCGGGAGCGGCCTGACCGCCACTCCCCGCGCAGAGCGCCCCGGGGCCTGGACATGAGTGCCCAGGAGCCCCCGCAGGGTCGAAGGTTCCCCATTGAGGCCGGAGACTCCCCTGGCCTTGCCGCCGCCCCCGAGTCCCAGGACAGCCCGGAGCCGGTAGCCACGGAGCACACCCCGGTCAGGTGAGGCCGGCGCCCTCCCCGCGGCCCCTCCTGCCGCCCCGGTCGTCCCCGCCGCGCGGGGCTCCGGACCGCCTGCGTCCACTTTCCCTGCCCAGAACCGCGTCCCCGCATCAGGGCCCCGCGGAACCCCGGGGGTGGGGGGCATGGCCCGGGTGCACTCCCCGGGCGCGTTCCCAACAGCAGGGGCCGGGCCCCGCTTTCCCCAGGCCGCTTCGACGCTGCCCGGGCTGCCACTGCCTGACGCTGCTGCACGTGCCCATCGACGTCTACCTGGCCATGGGCGGGAGCCCCCGGGCCCGCGCCACCTGAGTGCGCCTGCGCACGGCGGCTCCACGGGAGCCGGGCGGGGACGAGGCCCGCCGCGGGCCACCACGCTGAGGTCGCGCGCGCCGAGCACGAGACAATGATGCACATTTTAAAATAAAAGAATGATGCACATTTTAATAAAGCACAGCATAAACTGTTCTTTCCACTCCGGGCTGACCGTGTATGTCTATCCCGTCGATCGACCCGCAAACTGCTCCGCTCCTTCCCTCGGCTGCCTCCTCCCTTGGACCCAGCCCTAGAGGCCCGCCCTCCGCGTCCGCGCCAACCCCCCCCCCCAACTCCCTACTGGTCCGGACCCCTTCCAGGGCTACCGTTCCCCTCGGCCCCTGCCCTCATCCTTCTCATCCCTCTCCTCGGCTTCCCAATGCAATTCCCATAGCTGTGCTGCATTCGGGGGTCCAGAGAAACTCTGGACTGGAGCGGCTGGACCGACAACTTAGAATAAAGAGAACGGCCACCCACACCAGCCCAGTGAATGCTCCCAAAATGGAATTAGCGTTTGCTATCTGCTGTTCTGTGACCTTGGGCACCTCGGATTAGGGGCCTCCCAGGGACCAGAAAAAGACCGGGCAAGAAGTCTTTTGAAAAACCTTGATTTCTTATTCCTATTTTACAGGTGAGGTAACTGAGCCTTGAGAGACTTGCACGGGTTCCCCCAGCTGATGGTTGATAGGCTAGCACACTCCTCAGTGTCCTCAGACTTAACACTCTAAAATCCATCCATGACCCAAGGCTGCCTGGAAGTATAGCATTTAGCTGAGCAAGTATTTTCCACTTTCCAGTTTTGCTTTAATGAGCCTGTATTATTTTAATATTGGAAAAAATACACATAACCCAGAGGTCAGGTTCAGTCTCCTGTCCCCTGAAATTTAAATGCAAATGACTTAACACTCCTAATCCACATGGGGTAGAATTCCTAGCCCTCCCTAGAGTACTTCAAAATCCCACATTCACCCAAAAGGACCACCGTTCTCGGTTTCCACATAAATTCTCTCCCAGGCAGTCCCAAATGTAGGAGACTTATTAAAAGAGGAGAGGAGGTCACTATAATGTACACCTGAAACTAATATTACACTATGTTAACTAACTGGAATTTAAAACTTTAAAAAAGTAAAATAAAAATAAAAATTAAAAAAAAAGGGGGGGGCGCCTGGGTGGCTCAGTGGTTAAGCGGCTGCCATCGGCTCAGGTCATGATCCAGGAGTCCCAGGATCGAGTCCCACATCAGGCTCCCTGCTCGGCGGGGAGTCTGCTTCTCCCTCTGACCCTCTTCCTTCTCACAATCTCTCTCTCAAATAAATAAATAAAAATCTTAAAAAAAAAAAAAAAAGGAGGAGGGATGTTTGCCAAAAAAGGGTCTACTTCGAACTGAGGATTTTAGACTTGACCATTCGGAGCCTGGTCCTTCAAACACCCTCTTTCTTGAAAGCCTTCCCATGCCTCTCTTTCCCTTTCACCCACCAGAAGAATCCCTGGCTTCAGGCCACAGTGCTGGCTTCCCTCTCCTCTTTACTCCTCTCCTCATCCACTCTTAATTCCTAGAGAGCCCCCAGGGCTCTCAGTTCACTCTATTAAGTGGAGTAATCTAGCTGTTTTGATCCCCATCGAGCTCCATCCAGGCAAAGCCTACCCAGCATAACCCACGCTGCTGCTCTGCCGGAAAAGGGCCTTCTTCCCTATAAACAGTCACCCCCTCCTTAGAAGACCACTGTAAGCTTAGAGAGAAAAATATTATTGGCCTCTGTATTGATGAGGTCTCTCCTTTGCAAGCAACTAAAGTTAACTTACGTTGTTTCAAGTGGCTCGGAGGGATATAAGCTTTCCAGATACATAAACTTAAAGGAAGAACTGTAGGAACCAGGGTGTGTGGGGGGGGGGCCACCAGGACTACCCCTTTGTTCATCTCTCATCCCCGATTATCTCCTCTGGGCAGGGAACATGCCTGTGGCAGTTTGGAAATCTGCAAATGGGAGAGGTGCTTTCTCCCGCTCTCAGTTTACCTGACCTTGGGAAGGGCAGTGATTGACCCTTCTTTTAAGTCGCCTGCGCACTCTTTCAGCCAATTACCATCATCAGGGAAAGGTGAGACTATGATTGATCCAGCTGGGCCAGCAGAACCTACCCTTGAGGTGGAAGCATGGCTGGGTGATGGACAGCATCACCAGAAAATAACGGGCAGAGATGGAGAAAAAACATTCTGGGAGACGAGAGAGTTTATGTAAAGATTGGGTATTCCTCCAGGGAAAGAAGCCCTGAGAGAGAGAGACAGTGGCAGGAGCCAGGGTGACAGCTCTGTTCCATGGCAATGAGGAGCCTTGGACAGTGTGACCAGGAGTCAGGCCCAGGTTCTAGTTCAGGCTCTTTCCCTGCCTTGGTCAATATAAGTCCACCAGCCAGGCCTGTGCAAGGCACTGGGGATTCAGCAGTGAACTTGAAGGACCACAGGCATTGGCCCTCATGGAACTCACACAGTCTAGCAGGCAGGAGGCCTCACTCCAGCAAGTCCCTTCCTCACTGGTTTAAAAAAATTAGGAGGCCACCTGGCTGGGTTGGTTGGAGGAATATGTGACTCTTGATGTCGGGGTGGTAAGTTTGAGCCCCACATTAGGCATAGAGCTTACTTAAATAAATACATAAACTTTAATTTTTAAAAAAAGACAGGTGTCTGGGACGCCTGGGTGGCTCAGTTGGTTAAGCCTCTGCCTTCGGCTCAGGTCATGATCTCAGGGTCCTGGGATCGAGTCCCACATCGGGCTCCCTGCTCAGGAGGGAGCCTGCTTCTCCCTCTGCCTGCCGCTCCCCCCTGCTTGTGCTCTCTCTCTCTCTCCGATAAATAAATAAATAAAATCTTAAAAAAAAAAAAAAAGACAGGTGTCTGGGTGACTTGGTTGAGTTGAGCGTCTGACTCTTGGTTTCGGCTCAGGTCATGATCTCAGGGTGGTGGGATCAAGCCCCGCATAGGGCTCCACACTCCCCCCTCAGCCTCCCCCCACCCCCGCTCTCTCTCGAAAATAAATAAAATCTTTTTGAAAAAGAAAAAAAAGACTTGCTGCCAGCCATCCCGCATATGCTTGGATAGTGAGTGATGCAAAGATTTCAGACACACACCTTGCCTGGAGGGGTCAGCCCAGGGGCTAGTTAGCTCCACTGGGTGGACAGAACCTTGTGCGCAAAGGACCGGAGGCTGGAAAGTGCAGTGTACGTTCCAGGAAGTCAATTCGGTCACCTTCTTCCAACACCTACCTATCTGGTCTACACCAGGTGCTGAGAACCTAGGCTTGAATCTGACAGATCCTGGCCCTTGCAGAGCTCAGAATTCAGGGGATCTGGAGATGATGTAAGAGAAGAGAAGCTAGATTAAGAAGGCCTTGAATTTGAGCTCTGTTCTATAGGTGACAGTATGACATGCTGCAACCTGAGTCACTCACTCTCCTATTTCTTTTCTCCTTTTCCATCCTGTTCTCTGCTTCTTCCTTTTTCCCCCCGGAAAAGCCACTGGCCTAAACTCTTAGAGTCCTGACTGCCATTTACTAGCTGCGCAAACTTGGGCCAGGTACTTAGCCTCTCTGAGTCTCCATTCCCAAATCTGTAAAATGGGCTTAATGACACCTGCCAGAAGGTTTCAGGCATGTACAGCACCGGGTAGGAATTTCCAGCACAGCCCGCACTCGAGCAAGAGAGGAGGCCGCTGTTCCTACCCCTGGCTTCAGGGGGCAGCCGAGAGCCAGCCAGTCACGTCCCCTGGGCCTGGGTGATGTCCAGCCTTGGAGAGGGTTGGGGAATCCCTCTTGCCTCCCTCTGCCAACTTCCCAGCAGTTCTGCTCACGAGCAGAGGAACTTGGTTGAGGGGCATTTCCAGGGGAATCCCCAGGTGGGAAAGGGAGAGCTGCCTCCCTCACCCTCGAGGGTAAAGCTGTCCCCAGACCCCAAGGCAGGACCCCCTGATCCCAACCTTATTCTCTGGGCCCAAGGAATAGGGAGGGACCTGGGGAAAGGGGCATACTCCAATCACGGCTTCCCCTCACTTGCCTCTCAGACACCTTATTAGCTAGCCCCTCCCTAAAGGACCCCCTTTTAGAAGGAGGGGGCGAAGTACAGATGGACCCCCAGGTTACCATGGAGATGGCAGGGAAAAGGTTGCTGTATCGTCATGGCAACAATTGACGTCAGTACTACCCTTTCCTGTTGCTTGATATGGGGGGGGCAGCCACCCCAACCACAAGCAAATACCCCACAAAGCCTCCTTCCCTTCCTGAGCCAATCAACCAGGGGGTCGACAGGCTTAATATAGCACAGAGTTAAAAGCAGTCTCTGATGTCAGTCAAACGTTGGTTCAAATCCTTGTTCTGCCTCGTCTAAGCTGTGGGAATTTTAGCAAGTTCCTTAAGGCCTGGAAGTCTCATTGTACAATGGGGATAAATAAGCTCGTGCCTCCAAGGGCAAGTGTGAGGACTGCATGGGATCATGCAGGTCATGGGCACCAGGCCAGCTCCTGGGAGGTGCGCATTGACATTAGGGACCCATCAGTGGATGTGGACCGTAGGATATAGACTCACAGTCCCTAGAGAGCCTAGAGAGGATTTCCAAGGACTGGGCTCCTGAGTTTGAGCATCTCAGAATTTGGAGGGCGGGGTCTCAAGGTGGAGCCAGAGAGAGTGGAATTTCCAGACTGAGGAAACCCCAGATGCCACTTTCCCTGAAACCTCGTCACATCCGGACTCTGACCCAACTTCCCCTTCTCCTCCCCTCTGCCTCCTCCTAGGCCTTCACAGCAGCCTTCTGCCTCTTGGGCATCGATCTGCTCTTCTAGGGAAAAGGATGGATGAGGGCCCACAGGAAGACAACAGGCAACCAGACACCAGCTAGGTCGGTGGGTTGGACACACAGGGATATGGGTGTCACATTGCCCGCTGGCCTCTCCCCACCTACCCTCCAGGGTGGGGCCACCACCAACATTCTCATTCCCTGTCTCTGCCCTCACCTTCTGTCCAGGCAACCACAGTCCATTCTGCTCCAGTTCCCCCGCCCCCACCCTGAATCAGGAGCCCACCATTGCCCAAACAACCCCCGAACCAGACTCCCTCCTTCCTTCCTTGATGCCTCTAGTCCAGAGTTATTTATAAAGACCACAAACCCCAGCCATCCCATTCTATTTAAGACTCATCGATGGCTTCTTTACATCACTCATACAGCCGCACCAGACACCCCTCAGCGATTCACATTAACATTCTTCCACCTTTAAGCATGCTGTTCCTTCTGCCTGGAACAGCCTGCCTCCCAAACCCACTTACGCTTCAGATCTCCACCAATTGTCCCTTCTCCCAGAAGGCTCCTCTGACCACCTGTCCTCCTCTCATGGCACCTGCTTGTTCCACTGTGTACTCAGCTATTCCTTGATCCCTGGCGAATGTCTGCCTTCCCCACTACACTACGGACTCACTGAGGGCAGGGCCTCTGTCGTGTTCATCCTGACATCCCAGGGGCCTAGTGTGGCAGGGCTCAGGAGTTGGTAGAAGTTCTGCAGATTAGACTAGCTAGCAAGTGCTTGATAAGCCCACAGAGGAGAGGCCGCAGTGCTGTGAAGAGAAGGAACAGCAGAGCCAGCTAGGAGGCCCAGAATGGTTCCCCGAAGGACAATGGAGCTGAGACGTGCAGCAGTGACCCAGGCGAGGACATGGGGGGAGGAAATGTCCCTGGCACTGGAACTGGTAGGTGCCAAGGGTGAACTTGGTGCTGAAGACACTGTGCAGAGAGACAAACTCATGTTCTGGAAAGACAACCCTGGCTGCTTTGTGGGAACAGACCACATAAGTGCTAGAGAGCGGCAGCGGGGAGCCAAGTCGGGGGGCTGCAGCGGCCCCCCAGGTGAAAGGCGAGGGGGCCTTGGACCAGGCATTCATTCGCGGTGGAAACGGAGAGAAGCAATGGGACTTTTTAAATGTCCTGGGGGCGCCTGGGTGGCTCAGTTGGTAAAGCAGCAGACTCTTGATTTCAGCTCAGGTCGTGATCTCAGCATGGTGGGATAGAGCCCCGAGTCAGTCTGGCTCCATGCTCGGGGAGAGGCTGCTTGAGATTCTCTCTCTCCCTCTCCCTCAGCCCCTCTGCTTGCTCTCTCTCTCTAAAATAAATAAAATCTTTAAAAAAAATAAATGTCCTGGAGAGGATAGGATTTCATAGCCGCTTGAATATGAAAAGAGAAGATCCCACGACAAAACCCAGATTTTTCGTTCTGGCAACTGAGAAAATGGCCAAGCTAGGGAACCTGAATGGGAGGAAGGGCAGGTGTGGGGCACGTTTCCTGTGAGGTGGGACATCTGGGGGAGGGAGTTAGGAGGGGTGCCAGGAGACAGGTGTGGGGCAGAGAAGACAGATGACGGCCGAAAGAGAGAAGTGAGTCTCTGACAGAGGCAGACACCCCAGGCATGGGAACCAGTGAGATTTCCTTAGGACATGATTAGGCAGTGAGCAAAGGATGAGGAATTTGCCGTGTGGTAGCCGCCAGCACGATGGCCTGGCGAGAAAATCAAGAGTGCACAGTGTCCAGAAAAACAAGGACACAAAAGTATTTCAAGTAGGAAGGAGAATTTGTATCAAAGTCAGCCACTGCTTGAGGGGTCAAGTCAGATAAAGACTCACCACCATCCCTTGGATTTCGCAGCGAGGTCGTCAGTGGGGACCTTGAGGAGCAGGGCTATTCCTGTGCAATGGTGGGGGAGGAAGCCAGATTGCAGGGGCTGAGTGAGGAAGTGCAAACAGCTTGTGTACAAAACTCTTTCAAGAATGTTGGCTGTGAAGGGGAGCTGGAGAAGGACATGGCGTTGAAGAAGGGCTTTCTTCTTTTTCAGAGATAGGAAAGACTAGAGCCTGTTTGTTTGCTGCTGGGAAGGAGCCATCAGGGAGGGAGAGGTTGGAGATAGGGAAAAGAGGAAGGGATGAGGGGAGGGAGATTCCCTAAGGAGGGAAAACAAGAGATTAAATCCCCAAATACGGCTGCACAATTGGGGGGCAAGTCAAGGCCTGCTTTGGGCCCTGGGGGCTCGGAACAGCTGCCCACTCTCCCCAGCTGCCAGCATGAGTCACGGGTGGGGGGGGGGCGGGGAATAGCCCAAACTGGCCATGTGGGAAAGGGAGCTGGGCCAGCACGTTCCTCTGGATCCCCAGGGGGTCGGGGAGGAGGGCCCAGCCTGGGCTCTGAGCCCTGAACCCCATGCTCTGCTCAGAACAAGGGCACAGAGGGGTTGTCTCACTCCCTGTTGGGGTAGGCAGAGTTGTATGAAACCTGGATTTTACTTTTGGCTTTTCTCAACCACACTCCAAACCTGTTTCCCCTTCTCCCAAACGAGGGTGTTGGACCAGATCAAGAGCCTTTAACTTTTTCTTTGGGGGGGGGGGGGAGGATGCTGTCAGGGATCCTTTCTAGATTCTTCCCAGAAATATTGTGTATTTGGAACTTTGACACAGTTTAGGGGGTCCTGGATCCCCAAAAGTTCATTCATAGAATATCTCCAGATAAGAACTCCTGAACTAGAGATGGCCGAGGAGCCTTCTGCCTCTAGCATTTGAAAGTGCCCTGGAGCAAGGGAAAAAGCTCTTACAAGAGGGCCTTGGGAGGGTGCCTGGGTGGCTCAGTTGGTTAAGCAACTGCCTTCGGCTCAGGTCATGATCCTGGAGTCCCTGGATCGAGTCCCGCATCAGGCTCCCTGCTCGGCAGGGAGTCTGCTTCTCCCTCTCCCGCTCCCCCCTCTTGTGCTCTTTCTCTCTCTCACTCTGTCTCTCAAACAAATAAATAAAATCTTAAAAAAAAAAAAAAAAAAGAGGGCCTTGGG